TGGAAAAAAAAAAAAAAAGAAGATCATTTTAAATTTATCTAGTGGAGTTTAAAACTAAAAGGAAAGTGTTAAATGTCACTGTATAAAAACCATGAAATAGACCAAGTCAGACCCAGAGCTGCGAGAGGTCAAAAGATAAATACCACCAAATACCGGTCACTTTTATAAATTGCTGCTTTCCCCCACTAGAAAGCTAAAACTGAGGAAAGTTATCAGCCATGCCATTGACATTATCTTGGTATCATTTGTTTATTTGCTAAAGTAAACATATTTGTAACAAGTTTAAACACCTTTTCCCACTGTCCTGTGTCACTAAGTGGTGAAAGGAAAGCAAAACTTTAAATTAAACAATCTGCCTTTCCCCAGTTGACATAAGGATAAATCATGTCAGATACTCATATTCCCTAGCTCCTTGTATCTTGACCTGGTTCCTAATTTAGCAGATTATTAAGGTCAAAGTACCAAAATATCATTTCTTAAAAAAGACTGTTTGTACTTAGTTAGAGGTCATGGTTTCACAATGAGCCTTGTCTACTAAGAAGGACTCCTTATATTTGTTTGAGAAAAGAGCAGGTTTTTCTTTTCCAACATAAATATGCAAGCATAAGGCTGTTTCCTTTCCCAGGTCCATGGGCGTGTGTATGGGCTCTGTCTGACCAGCATCCCTGTGGTGAGCTTGGCATTCCACATGGAGTGACGAGACAGCTGGATTACTAACTAAGCTTCTGAAATGCACTGGGATCAAAGTCGGCCTCACCACGAGGCAAGCAGGAGGGATTATTTTCGGCCAGGCTGGAGGAGAATTGAGATCTGTGGTACACACACACACACACACACATACACACACACACACAAAGCAAGGATTTTACTGCTTCATGAGACAAATGGAAAAAAATATGTTCTGGTTAAGAGTAAAGAATTTGGTGTCAGAAGACCTGGTTGGGCTTAAGTCCCAGCTCTGTCTCTTACCAGCTGCATCACCTTTGACAACTTATTTAACATCTCCAAACCTCAGTTTCCACAACGTAAAAAAACAAGGATAAAAATAATACTGCCCTTCTAGAATTCTTGTGAAACATAATCAAGACAATACTTCTAAAGTGCTTAGCAGATTGACTATCTCAGAAAAACCACTCCATGAAATCAGTCAGCAATACTGATTAAAAATATTCCAGGTTGCCCTGATCTATAAACAGCCATGGCCATCATCTTCAGCCTTACAGTCCTTTGTGGCTACAGCTGATGCTCACACATGTCAGCCCCAATGGGTGCTCCACCCTGATCCAATTCTCTCTGCTCAGACACTTGGTGCTCCAGGGAGGTTGGATGTGAAGTGAACCTCACCTCAACACTAGGGATATTCTTAAGAGTGTGCTTCTAAGGAGGTTGACAACCTAACCCAAATACTTATAATATTTATAATGTTTCTTTTTTTTAACATTTTTTATTTAAATTCAATTAATTAACATATAATGTATTATTGGTTTCAGAGGTGCAGGCTTATGATTCATCAGTCTTATATAATACCCAGTGCCTTTATCATAATAAAATAGACTCCAAATTTCCAATAGATGACTTCAAAATGAATTGGGATGTAACCTGTTTGCCAGTTAAAACTTTATGTCGTTAGTAGGACCAACAGCAGCTTTATTGTGTCAGCATCTCTATTAAGTTTATTCTAACAACTAAATAAAGTTCCTTAAACTGTAATGAATGCATTTTATGAAAGCCTGTTATTATTAGTAGTAGAAATAAAGTAGATTTATTGGGTGATAAGTATTTACAACAAAACAAGCACTTGATACATATTATCTAATTTGATCTTCACATTATCCTATGAAGTAGGTTCTATGGTTATGCCCTAGTCACAGGTGAGAAAACTGAGACTTAGAGCACTTAAGAAACAATTCCAAGGTTGCTTATACACTAAATAGAAGAACCTAATGACTCTGAAGCCCAAGATTTTGGCCACTACGCTATACAGTCTGTCTCCATATGATGGGGAAGTAAGGAAACAGTTTCATCCAAGACCAGAGCTACAAAGAGATCATATTCTTTCAAGGCAAAGTCTGCACTATGTATTAAATAGTATGAAGAGATTCTACTGTACTTATCATTTTAAAACCAAACATAAGCATGCATTTCCTTACTATATTGAATTTGTATTACAGAAAATCAATAAATCGCCCCAAGATCCCAAATAGCATGATCTCTCATCAATCATTTGGGTGTCAACTGTTTCATCTGTGAGACTCTAAAAAGAGATGTCTTCTTAATCCCCAAATTATAATATTAGCACTGCTAGTTCACCTTCCTCTGACGCATGAGAGATTAGTTGGAACTAGGATGATGAAATGCCAAGTGGTTTGATGCGACCCATCCTTTCTGAACATCTTAAAACAGGCTTTCAGGCTAAACTCTTGGCTGAGTTATATGGCTTTAATATGACTTAAATGACAACACAGAAGCATATGAGCTCAATGTTTGCAATGACTTTGCTTCCTTATCAAGCTGCAGTTGGATAACTCACCCCAACAAATTTCCTAAGAAATTCCTGAGAAGCCTGGACATCTGGGTTAGACAGTTCAATGAAATTTCCAATCATACTCTCTTCTGTAGCAGGTACTTCTTGGTAGAAAAGTTTAGCTCTGGCATAAAACTGCATCTCACCATTGATGACTTGTTAATGCATACAATTTCACTGCAAATGAAATATTATTAATATTTATTAATATTAATATGACAGAACAAATTAAATCTTATCATATATTGAATTGCCTCTTAGAAGCCTCTGAGTTTGTGCTGTGGAGGAAAGGCATAGTCAGAAGATCTGGGTTTGAGTTCTGGTTCAGTGACTTACTCATTATGGAACCTTAGGAAAACTTCTTAACCCCTCCAATCTTCAGGTATCTCATGCATAGTGGCATTTTCATGACTTACTAACTCTATAGTTTAATGAAACTTTAGCTTATTACTGTATTTTTTAAAAGTTTAACAGCATTTGCTATCCTAGAATGAAAAATGTCACAAGTTTTATCTTTGAGCTCCAAAGTTTTATGAGAATTTAATCATTAATCCTTACTTCTAATCACAAGGTACATTCAGGGTAGCTATTTTTTTTCACCAATTTTTCAAGCAACTCATACTGAACTATCTCTTTGTACCAACATTACAGAAGATGTGCTTGAGCTCTTTCTTCTGAAAATAAAATAATAAAAAAAGATAAAAAGATTTATTGCACAACTATCTATGCCAGGTAGTGTGTTACGCACATTCACATATACTATGTCACTTCATCATTTAAGAAATCATGTGAGATATTATTTTAAGACATTTATTTTTAGAAAAATATATATTCTAATTTCTGAAGAGTAAATGTGGATGCATGTGGGTTTTTTGTAGATGAAAATGCACCTCTTCAGATATAAAATATTTTCATTAGAGGACATTCAGGAAGAAATGATAGAGAGTGGATGAAAGGAAGGAATTTCTGTTTCAAGACTGTAGGCTGAGTACATGCATTTGTCTTCCTTCTTTCCCCATATTCCCCCCAAATTGTTTTAATAAACTCAACACATAACAGTGAAGAAAATGAGAGGGGAGCCACTGATGGATTCATGATTTCAACAAATGTCTGCAAGACAAAGAGCAGATGGAACAAAGCTAAAAGATTTTGCAGCCTTGGATAGATGCAAAAGGAAATAAGAGTTCATAAAAAATCTCTCTACAAGCCAACCAGGGAGAAGACAAATGCACCCTCCCAAGAGCAACAGGCAGCACAGCTATAATCCTGCGTGGGGGAGGGTCTTCTCTAAAAAAATTTTTTTTAACTTAATTAATTGCCTAAGGAGACCTAAAGCAGTTAGTGTTAGAATCCTAGAATACTACTCATTTTACCATATAGATGACTCCAAGCATCTCATCTGCTCACACAGATCAGACTGTGGTAAGATCTACCTGCACATGTACAGCTCCTTGTCATCTTTTCTATTCAGGGGAGACATATTTAACAGAGGAAACCTTCCCCATTACCTAGAATCATTGAACCTGTCCTTTATCCCTAACTATGGGTAAAAAATGACTTCCAAACACATGGGGGTAAAACAGCAGCCTGAAAGAAAAAGATAGAGATAAACTATTAGAAATGACCCCAAAGGAAATAGAAATAGTTCAGGAAATGGACAAGAATTTAAAACAAAACTAAACAGAAAAAATATATCCTTGGAGAGATATGAGAACTGGTGCATCCATAAATCAAAAATAAGATGCCAAGAAAGTGATAATTCAAAGAATTCTTAGAAATTAAAGTTTTGATTACCAAAAACTTTGGAATAGAACATTGAATAAATGTGTCAGCACATAATAAAAAGACAGATATGAAAACCTGAGGTAAATAGATTAGAGTTATAAAGACTTAATTCAGGAGGTCCAAACATCAAGCCAATTAGGATTCTCAATAACAGAGAAATGGAAGGAAGAAAATTATTAAAGAAATAATAGAAGAAAATTCCCCAGAGCTGAAAGTGATTGTAGGGTCCAACAAGAACTGAGCAGCATGGATTTAAAATAATAATAATAATAATAATAATAATTAAGTAAAAGCCACATTTACACAAATCCTTAGGAAATTTCAAAACACAAAGAGTAAGAATCCTAGAAGTAGAAGATCCTAAAGTTATTTAGACGGAAAAAGGTGATTGACCCTCAAGGAGGGTTGCCAGATTTAGCAAATAAAAATATGAGACAAGCAATTAGTTTTGAATTTCATATAAACAATAAAAATTTCTTAGTATATGTATACTTGAAATGTTGTATATTGCACAGGGCATACTTAAAAAAATATTTGTTGATCCTCTTAAATTCAAATTTATCTGGAGTTTTATATTTTATCTGGCAACTATATTCAAAAGACTAGAATCAGGCTTATAACATAGATCTCATCAGAGCACTGGGTGTTATATGCAACTAATGAATCACTGAATACTACATCAAAAACTAATGATGTACTATACGGTGGCTAACTGAACATAATAAGAAAGAAAGGAAAGAAAGGAAAGAAAGAAAGAAAGAAAGAAAGAAGAAAGAAAGAAAGAAAGAAAGAAAGAAAGAAAGAAAGAAAGAAAGAAAGAAAGAAAGAAAGAAAGACTAGAAAACAGGGGCACCTGGCTAGCTCAGTCAGTAGCATGTGACTCTTGATCTGGGGATTGTGAGCTCAAGCCCCATATTGGGTGTAGGGGTTCCTTAAAAATAAAATCTTTAAGAAAAAAAACAAACACTAGAAAACAAAGAAGCAATGCCATCAATATTCTGAGAGGAAATTATTTTGAACCTAAAACTTAATACCCAGTCAAACTGTGAAAGAATATTTACCTACCATGGATTCATTCTTCAGAAGTTTCTTGAAGCTATATTCCAAACCAATGAGGGTTAAAATCAAGAGAAGATATGTGTCAAAAGATAATGAAATTAACCCAGGAATCCAATGAAAAGAAATCCCAAAATGACAGATACTTATCAGATCTAGAAAGAAATCAGTCTTTATTACAACAGAAACTATAGGCTCTAGAAACATAAGTTCATCCAGAAGTAGAATGAATTGGATTCTAGGCAATAGAATAAGTAAGAATCAAAGAGACATTAGTGACATTCTAAAGAAGATATATATTTTTTTATCTCAACCATCACAAATAAAAGACAGGTGAAAGCTCCAAGCAAAATACATAACAGTACAAAAATGTTATGATCAAGATATAAAGCAAATCAAAATAGACATAATTTTCAGTAGAAAGAGTATAAGAAAAGAGAATCTATTTAACCTTAACTAAAATCATTTTTCATCAGGTAACACCACAGTTGTGAAATTGGACTACTGCACTGCTTGGCTCTTGATTGAATAACAATTACATAGTCCCAAATTTTGATTCTAAAAGTTGAAAATCCAACAAACACCACTTATAATGTTTCATCATAATACATTCCATCTATGGAGTTACACCAGTATTTTCCAACTCAAAGACATTGGAGCCAATTTTTGGACCCTTGAATGGTCCTGAGTTTCCTGAAAGGGATATAAGAATCAGTTCCAATGTACATTTTCTAGAGACTAACAATATTATATACTATAGCTCCATATATATTAACTGTTATAGATTGTTTTTTAATACAAATCTTTTAAAAGTATTAAATATATAGATTTTTTTTGCCATTTTATACACATATTAACAACTGACTGAGAAAATACATTAAAAGGAGAGTCCTCAGGTTCAAAACATTGGGAACCACTATCCTACACCAATCTCTCTCCCCTAGCACTTAGTAAAGTATTGTGTAAACAGCAGGTGGCTCAATAAATTCTACAGGGATGACAAAAATCAAGCATAGCCATCCCAATAACACATGAGTGCTCCAAATTCTTCTATGTGTCTCAGAAAACCAAGCTAGGAAATCACAGCTCATAGAGTCTTCCCCAAGTTGCATGCTGCCCAGGATCACAAGCAAGCCACAGGCCAGTACTCTCGTTGATCCAACCAAAGCAGCAAAGCAGCCACACTCATCATCACCTGCTTAAGTCAACTAGTTGGTGAAGTCTGTTAAAACTCTTAATCTGGAAATGGGAATGGTCCATTATGCCAGCAACATTTAGACCACAAGTGAATGCCAAGCCCAGCAGGGGTCAGACTCAATAGGTAGGTTTTTATGGTTATGGGCTTGAGTTCTCATTTTCACCTAATTGACAGGAGCATTTCACTAAAACGATATATGAGGTGTCATGTTGAGCCCCAGGTTCTCCTCTCTTGATAACTCCCGCAATGGTGCAAGTTGACTCAGATAAGGTAATCAGTCATCAGCCTGTGCCTTTTTATTATAGAAACACATAAGCTCATTCTTATAGGATTGCAATGTCTCTGTGAAATTTGGGGTAGTCTAAGACAGAGTTCTTGATAGAGTTCTAGTCGTTCTTCATATAATATGGTACTTATATCTTGTCCTACATTATGGGCTGAACTCCCAAGACCCTTGCAATGGTTTACTTGTTACAAAAAAGGAAAGTAGAACACAAGTTGATTTGCCCTAAAGAAGAATTTGGATCTTGTGAACTCTCTAAGGAAAATTTTGTTAAAAGCTAAGCACTTATGTCTGCTGAGTATCTTCTTGTCTTTTTGTTTCCTTTTTTGTATTTCTAAATGGTTGCTTGAGGTTATTTTACACTTTATTCCAGATGTTAAAACTGTTTGTCAACTGAAAATTGATCTGAGAGGATAGGTAGGTTAAGTTTAGACATTTAGTTTGAAATGATTTGAGATAGGATATTAGATCATGTTAGCCTTTTATTTATTATTAAAAAAAAAAAAAAGCCCAATTAGGAGATGGCTTTATGAAGGGTAAGACCTTCCATAAAAGAGATTTGCAAATGAGCACTTCCCAATTTAGCCATTAAAGAATTAATGGTAAAAATGGAAAGAAGGATGGAAGGAAGGAAGGAAGGAAGGAAAGAAGGGAGGAAGGGAGGGAGAAAGTATCTAGGTACCATGGAATATTACTCAACCATAAAGAAAAGGAAGTCCTGTCATTTATGACATCATAGATGGACCCTGAGGGCATTATGCTAAGTGATATAAGTTAGAAAGGGAAAGATAAACACCTTATATGTGGAATCATAAAAAAAGTGAACTCATTTCTATTTTTTTCACTAGCAGGGGA